TGTAGTGACCTCTGCGAACATCCTCCCCTCCGTGCTCCTGACTGGAACACTTTCTTTTTACATCATCCGCACGTGTCATGCCGCGTTTTCTATAACAGAAGTGCACATGTCTCCCTAATAATTTGCAGGCTGTACTAGGCGGTGGGCGGAACACACAGGTTTTTTTTTTTTAAAGGAACCTTTGACCTTTGTCCCACCGTCCCCAGGTTACCTCAAGAATCCTCTAGACTGTGTGATCGCCCTCCACACACAGACACAGACGCGCACGTAGATGACACCTCGACGCGCAGCACGGTTAAGGGGCGGGGCGGGAACTCAAGCTCATTTCTCATCTGTGGAAAGAGTTTCTTGTTCTGCCGTAGTTTCCGAAAACTCGTGGTTGAGTAGAACCCACCACAACGCACGGTTTGCATCTGGGTCTAGTGCGGGTTCTGCCATATGGCTTTGGATAGGCAAGTCGCCGCTCAAGTTCGATGGTGTCAGATGAGACTGTCTCGTCTGCAGGCTCTGTGCAGATGGGATGACCGAAAGGATCTGAGATGAGTCCCCCTGGAGCAGGTGGCCCTACACCCAAGGACAGTATCCTTATCACAGAGGAGACACAAAGGAGAAGCCACGTGGCCTTATTTGGGAAAGATTTTTGCAGATCGAAGTTAGGGATCTGGGATGAGTCTTTCTGGATGTAGCAGGTGGCACTAAATCCAGTGACAGTGCCCTCATAAGGGACAGAGAGGAGACACAGACACAGAGGAGAAGCCACGTGCAGACGGAGGCAGAGATGAGAGGGACGCGGCCACCAGCCCAGGGACACCTGGGGCCCCCAGACACTGGGAGAGGCAGGAAGGTCCCTCCCATGGGGCCTCCGGAGGGAGCGAGGCCCTGGGACACGCGAAGTCACACTGCTGGTCCCCAGGACTGGGAAAGGATTCCTTTCTGTTGTTTTTAGACACCCAGTCTGTGGTCATTTATTATGGCTGGACAAGCAAATGAACTCACGTGGACATGTCCCAACATGAAACCAAGGAGGCCCAGTGGCTTTTTTATGTGGTACCGAGGTCAACGTAAAGACGACTTTGTCAAACACGAGGTCAGACACAGACCACAGCATGGCGGTCACCGGAGGGGAAGCAGCTGGGGGAGGCGGAGGAGGGCCACGGCGGTCACGTGCATGGGGACGGAAGGAGATGTGACTGGGCGGTGAGCACACGATGCAATAGACAGATGACGTATTGCGGGATTGCACGCCGGAAACCAATATAATTTTATTAACCAATGTCGCCCCAATGAATTAAATAAAATAGTCATTAAAAAAATCTTTGATAGGGAGAAGGCCGAACAGCCAGGCAGCCAGGATGATGCGAAGTGACTTTTCCTGTCCCCTGTCACCCCGAGAAGCCTGGCACCCAGGAAGTCACCGCACTGGCCGTCTGAAGCTTGGTCTTACAGGACAATAAAGTTCAAAAACAGCTCCCCGGGGTGCAGCCTCGTGCAGTTTCACTTCAGTAGAAGGTGGGAGACACCCACCCCGGGTTCACAGTCCGGCCCGGGTTCATCAGAAGGAGCCGAGTTTGCAAACTGAGTCCTCGGGGGCAGAGCCTGGTTTGCGTTTTACTTTGCAGTGAGGACCTGGGACCAATCAAAGGGTGACCGTTGACGGCGAGCCGAGGATTTTGCTTGCGCACCCATATTTATGAGCGCATGTGCCAGATGTCACCAGTTGGCTGGTTTGCGGGGGCGGGGGCGAAGTTCTCTGTTAGTTAGCGTATTATTTACAAAAGGGAATAGAACCGTATGCGATTCTGAACAATGGCCTTCTCAGATCGCACAGGTCCCTGATCCGGACGAACACGTTTCAAAGACCTTGAGGCTGCCAAGTCGCAAAGTACGTACTGAGCAACCTTTCATGACTAGGAGCTTTTAAATATGTGTGTTAGCTTCTCAGGCCTGCTTTAGCCAATTCTGCCAAACGGGGTGACTGGAAATAATAGAATTTTCTGCTGTTACAGCCCTGGAGGCTAGCAGTGTGACAATCAGGTGTCCCGAGGTCATGGTCCCTCCGCAGGCCCCAGGGGAGGGTCCTTCCCGCCTCTCCCAGCTTCCGGGGACCCCAGGCGTCCGTGGGCTGGTGGCCGCGTCCCTCCCGTCTCTGCCTCCGTCTGCACGCGGCTTCTCCTCTGTGTCTGTGTGTCCCCTTCTGTCCCTGGGGTTAGGGCCACCTGCTGCAGGAGGACTCACCTCAGACCGTTCAGCTATGCACGTCTGCAAAGACCCTGTCTCCACATGAGGTCCCACCGTGAGCTACCAGGTGGATGTGAATTATCTGCAGCACGGTATTCAACCCACTACGAGATCTCTACATTCCAACCAGACATGGAACACTTTTGCAGACACGCGTTCAAGCCCGCCTGCTCCTTCTCAGTCAGTAGAAGCCAGGTCTCGGAGCTTGAGGCTGTGACTTCCTTCCCTGCCCTGATGGGGGAGCAGTCCCCCCCTCCCCTCAACGCAGCTCACTGTGGCCTGCTGTCACTCGTCACCGGGACTCATAAAAACGTTCCTCACTCTGCCGTGGCCTTTGCGTGCCCGGGACAGGGCCGCCGTGCAGCCTACGACCTCACGCCACCCCGGGATGCTCCGCCCCTGTTTGCAGGTGAAGACGCACGGCAGGTACGCTGCACCTGCCTGGCCACGCCTCCTGCCCCGCACGCCCGGGCAGACGGGGCGGATCGCACTGCGAGCTGCGTTTAGTCATGCGGCTCGGACTGACAACGAGGGAGCGTTCGCTACCCCGGGGCGGGGGGCACTTCGCAACGCCTGGAGACGTTTCCGGTTGTCATGACTAGTGGGGAGGGGGTGCTCCTGGCATCTGGGGAGTGGAGACCGGGGGGCTGCTCGACGCCCTGCAGCGCCCAGGACCCCCGACGTCAGAGTCATCGCCACGATGTGCACGGCGTGGACTCTGACAGACCCTGACCTAGCATGAGTCGGTCGCTATGTACCTATGTATGTATCATCTGTCTATTGATCCGTCGTCTATCTATCTATCTATCTATCTATCTATCTATCTATCTATCTATCTATCTATCATCCATCTATCATCTATAATGTCTATCATCTATCACCTGTCTATCTACCTATCATCTATAATCTAATCTGTAACCTACCATCTATCTATCATTTAATCTATCTAATCTATTATCTATCTATCTATCTATCTATTGATCCGTCGTCTATCTATCTATCTATCTATCTATCTATTTATCTATCTATCTGTTATCTATCTATCTATCTATTTATCTATCTATCTATCTGTTATCTATCTATCAATCATCTGTCAGCTCTCTTCTCTATCCTCCCCCCATCTATCCATCCGTCCATCCACCTATGCATTCATCCATCTGTCATCTATGGCAGTGGTTCTCAGCTAGGAGTGATCTGCTCCCCACTAAGGGGACATTTACCAATATCTGGAGTCACTTTTGGTTGTCATGCCCGGAGTGCAAGGACCTGCTGGAATCTGGCGGGTGGTGACCAGGGGGGCTGCTCAACACGCTGCAGGGTACGGATGACCCTCGTCTCAGCCGTCATCCCCGACGTGCACAGGCCGAGGCCGAGAGACTGTGGGCTTGTCTGTGGAAGCATCATGTCTGCGCACAGACTGCCTGACGCCCAGTGAGGGCCGTGCAGGTCCAATGCACTGAATGAACGGACCGATGAACGAAAGGGTCTGCGTGCTTCCCACGGAGCCGGGAAAGGCCGGCCCTCTCGCTTCAACGGCTGACATTCCTTCCAGACCGGCAGCTCGGCATTTCTCCCAACGCCGGACGGAGCCTTATTCCCAGATGTTTATCTCGCATCTCTCCCCCCCCTCCATCTCTGTTACGCCGGACGGAGCCTTATTCCCAGATGTTTATCTTGCATCTCCCCCCTCTCTCTCTCCGTCTCTGTCTGTCTGTCTGTCTGTCTCTCTCTGTCTCTCTCTCTGTCTCTCTCTCTCTGTCTCTGTCTCTCTGTCTCTCTCTGTCTCTTTCCATCTCTCTCCGTCTCTCTCTCTCTCTCTCGGGGAGGAAATGCATGACAGAGCTGCTTTTGCTGTCTCTGTCTCTGTCTCTGTCTCTCTCTCTCTCTCGGCGAGGAAATGCATGACAGAGCTGCTTTTGTGTTCCTCACAAAAGCAGCTCTGTCATGCACAGACCCAGGTGGCACGTTCCTGCAGATCGTGGCCTGGGAGATTGCTGTGCGAAGACTCCCCCACCCTCATATGGGAGCCGTGACCCCAGGGGCCCGCGGGGGTCCCTCTCCGCCTCGTCCCCTGTCAAATCCGCTGCCTTGGACTCCGTTTCCTTGCGTGCCAAAGCCCCGTAGAGGGGAGGGGAACTCGAGCGGGAGGGATGAAAGCAGCGTTCCAACCGGTCTCAGTGAGACCCACATGCTCGCGAAGCTCTTTAGCGCCCGAAAACATCGCCGTCATCGTGGCCCAGTTGTTGGGAAAACATCGTTTTATTATCCCATGTACATTCTATTGACCTTAAAAATACAGTAAAACAGCCATGGAAATATCAGGTGTCCTGCTTTGCGTGGGCGTGAGGCGTGGCCGGGCTTTCCCAGAGGGGCCGCGGGTTCGCTCCGTGGGGTCACGGCTTAGCTCCCTCTCCGCTCCGCCCTCCCTCCCCGGCCCCCGGCCCCTGCGACGGCTCTTAACACAAACCCCATAAACCGGGAAATCCGATACCCCAGCCTCCCCCGCCACGGGCGCCCGAGAAAGGTCATTGAATAGCGGTGGCTGAATTCGAAGGCAGTGGGGCGGGAACTCTGAGTGACTGCATTTCCATGCCTGCTCTAATGTACCCGAGTCTTGTAAAGACCAATAATTTATTATTTTTAATGAGACAGAAAGCGTTTCTTTCTCTTTCTGGCCTCATCGTCTAATTAGAAAGAAAAAAAATTTATATATATCTATATATCTATATATAGAAAACACTACATGGAAGGTGAGTTTCAGACAGAGGGTCCTTTCATAGAAAACGGTAGGTGTATTGTATGACACTTGTACAGTAAAAAAAAAATCGGTCACTGCGATTCTAAGCCCTTATTGGTCAAACTGGGGTTTGGATGTGACAGAGGAAGGTTCTATCGGTTCGAAACGGCAGAAGGCTGACGAGCTGAGGCGTCTTCCCCGCGGAGAGATGTCAGTGTTCCTGTCGGCTGTTCGTTTTCAGCGGAAGCTGCTTCGTCTCCCACTGACGCTCGTCAGAGCCTCGGAGAGTGGCGTCCCCCACGCGGAAATCGTCACTTGCGCCCAGGCCTTGTGGCGTGTGCCGTGCCAGGCCTGAGCACGGCGTCCTGCACCCGTGGACGCGAGTCCCAGACAGGCAGGACCCCACCTCCTTGTCTGCGTTGCTTCCTTCTGCCGACGCGCGTCGGCCACGGTCAGCGTGAGCTCGACACGCAGCTGGGGGCCACCGGGCTGTGTGACAGTTCGCGGGAGAGCCCTGCCTTGTCCCAGCCCTGTCGGCGTCTCAGTAAACGTGGATGTAGGTGGTTTTGGTGTCCCTGCCCAGGATGTTTTTGGCGGTGCACTTGTAGAAGCCGGCGTCGCTCCGGGTGGCCTGCTGGATGGTGAGTGACCCCTGCGGGTGAAGCTGCCGGTTCCCGTACAGACGGGCCTGCGAGCCGGCGGTCAGCTGTGACCGGTCCGGCAGCTCCCAGGTGATCTCGGCCTTGGGGACCCCCACGGCCATGCACTTCATGGTGACGGCGTGCCCGGGCCGGGCGTAGATGACCGGCGTCGGCTCGCTGGTGATCCTGGGCGGGTAAGCGATCACGATGACCGCGTAGCTCACGGCGGACGGGCCCGAATCGGCGTCCGTCTGGCACGCGTAGGTGCCCCTGTCGAACACCGAGGCCTCGCGCACGGTCAGCGTGCCGTTGTCCCAGACGGACACGCGTCCTCGGGCCTGCGGGCCGTGCAAGATCGTGCCGCTGGGCAGCGTCCAAGACTCATGGAACTATTATATATCTTGATTGTATATAAATACGTTAAAACTCAATGAACTATACACTTAAAATAGGTACATTTCATAGTATACAAACTACACTCATACAAAAAATACTATTGGTTAAAAAATACATAGTTGTGCTTGAAGATAAGAGAAATACCT